AATAACGGAACAATTGACGGTTTATTGGTTTTTCAAAAATATTTTATCAGATATAAAATAAATTGGGGATTTAATTGAAATTTTATCATGTTTTTATAAAAAATTCATAACAATTAGGGAATATATAAATAATGGATTTTTATATTTCTGATATATATCAAAATATATATATTAAAAAATTTTTACTTTATTAAGAGAAATATATCTAAATTCAAACTGAAAATTTAGGCAGGAAAGATTTCAAAAAAAGAAAGAAGCCAACAGCTGACTGACAAGAATGTTAACTAAATAATTTTAGCATGATAAAAAATTTTTGATAAAAATTTTAAAAAGTGGGAAATTTTAAATTTCATATATTTTGAATTCATCCAATTAAATTCATTAAATTGTTTAAACTAAAAAGTTGATTTTGATTATATTCTGGGTAAATCTGGGAAAAATTAATTTGTTGTTAAAATAATTTTTTTTAAAAAGTTTTTTCAGTTCAGTTAACTTTTTTTTTTTTTTCTATCATTTTATATTCATTTATGTTTTAATTTCAGGACCTAACAGATAATATATATATATATATATTATAAATATATTTCTTATTTATATTTAGTTTAAAGAATATTTGTATGAAATAAACATGTCATTGCAATATATAATATTTATATATATTTATATATAAATGTAAGGAATGTATTAAAATAAATATTATAAATCAATATATATACGGAATATAAGATAAATTTATAATTTTGATTTATTGATATGTTTTTAATTTATTTCTTTATAAAAACGAAATATATATTTTCTTTTGGAAAAAAAAATAAATATATATACAATATCAATTTCATATAAAAATTTAAAAACAGCATTTTTTATGTTAAATCTTTTTCAAAAATTTTTAAATTTATATATATGTATTTTAAAAATTTAGTATTTATATTTAAAATATAATATTTATATTTACTTAGTTTTGTGCGGAAAAACAATTTATAAAATTAAATATAAAATTTCACAAAAAAATAAAGAAAAGGATATAAAACATTACAGATTAAAATTTTTATTTATATATATTTATAAGTAAATATTTATAATGATATTGTATAAAAAAAATAATATAATATGCACAATATATAAAGGCCATAAAGATTTAAATTTGAATAAAATGGTTTGTTAGAAAATACAAATTGATTTTAAATAAATAAAAATAATATAATTAAAATAATCATTTATTATTTTTTTCTAAAATTTCTAAAATTTTATAATATAAATTTGATAAATTTATTTTTTTTGAAAATAATAAATTTTTTTGGATAAAAATAAATGGTATCTTTGTTTAATTAAAAAAAGAAAAATCATATATTTATATATATTAATATATATATATATATATATATATATATATATATATATATATAATATATATATATATATATATAAATAAATATACGGAATAATATATAAATATATATATATATATATATATATATATATATATATATATATTATTTTTAAAAAAAATTATAACATAAATATGTTATAAAATCACTATATAAAAAATAGCCATTTTGTTTCAACACCTCGGTGTCTTATCAAGTGATGATGTTGAATGTAAAATAAATGGTTTTAAAAGTTTCAAATTAATTAACGATCCTTCATTAGGGGAAAACATTGTTACAAAAGCTAGAATGACCAATCAAAATACAAGTATAGAAAAATTCAAAAGCTTGACAACGAAATCATGTTATAATAGCTATTCAGATTTTTAAAATACGGGTAATATTAAAAAGAATTTATTCTAACCAATAATTATTAAATTATATGATAAAATTTGATATTAAAATTAAAAATTACCAATTTTAAAATCCAAATTTAATCACTATTAAGTTTAAAACTATAAAATTACTGAGGAGAAAAAAAAAAATATATATGTTATTCAATTTATTTTTTCATTGAAATTACGTTCGACAAGACGCTAATATCATCTGGTCATTTGACAAACATGTATATATATTTTTTTTCCTTTTTATTTTTTTATTTTGTGAATGGGGTCTTAAACTCACGCAAAAAAAACAAAAAAACACAATCAGATTATAATACATAAGCACCCAGACATATTTAGACATATATATATACACACAAAAAAAGTGACGAGACAGGAACATCTCCACAGCCCTTTATGAAAAAGACTTAAAAGTGTCATTAAATAAATGCTAACCACTTATTAAAATATAACTTATATGGGCAAATATACATAGATAAAAATGGTCAAATATAAATTATTAATATTTTAAAAATAGCATTATCTAAAATATGAAAAAAAATATTAAACATATAAACTTCTATAATAGTTTCATTTATATTAGGCAAAAAAAACAGGATATAGAAACCTACATATACATTATATATATATAAATAAAACAAGATAAGAACACAAATATATAAAAATTTTACACATCACATATATATACATATATACATAAATACATATATATATATATATACACATACATATATATATAAACATACAGAACCAACATATAAATATATCAACATTGTATACACAGACCTAAAAATAGACAAAACCAAATATGAATATATATATACATACATGCATATATATACATATACATATATATATATATATACATATATACAAACACATACATATACATACATAAACATATGCATATAAATATACATATACATGCGTATATAAACTAAACACACAAACATTATATATACCAACACATATACAAAAACACGCATATACATAAAAAAGAAAACCATACAAACGTAAATTCACATATATATATAGACATATATATACGCACATACACATCCATCCATACATATATATATATATATATATATATATATATATATAGAATATATATATATATATATATATATATATATATATATATATATATATATACATATATATTATTACATACAGAAATATACGTAAATATAAATATATTTATAATACATAATACAACTGGACATATATATACATATATATCATTATGTTTTAACCTCTTCTCCTGCTTTTTACCTTCTGGGTTTTTATATATATATATATATATATATATATATATATATATATATAAAACCTACTAACATATATATACACTTATATATACACATACACATCCAGCAGCACAAACACACATACATATACACAAATACAGACACGATTAACACTATCTAGGTACACAATACACATTCATGTCGTCAGGATAACCATCAGGTTATAAAAGTAATAACCTATTAAACTTACAGCGACATATCATTATCATTGAAAGTATACGACCACTATAATAAGTTAAATTTATAACGGTGTTTACAATTAACTGTTAGTTCATATCTTTGATTTAAGAGATCAGTCTTATTTTTAAATCTAATTATTTCAAAATTTTTGTTAAGACATAGGTAACATGGGGCATACAGGGAGTTACATGTCCAGACTTTTTTAATCAAACTCTATTTAACCGTAGGTGTTTTATTCTTTTCTTTTAGACACCAAAAATACATGGATAATGAAGTCATGTACTCATAGTTACTGTTATTAAAAGATTGCATATGTCCTCGCCAACGTTCCTTGAATGGTTTCATGGTGCTACCAATGTAATTTTTTTTTTTTTTGGATTTTCTAGCAGGTTGTAAACAGCAATACTAAGTATAATGACACGAATAACAACTTATGTAATTGTAGGAATCCTAATAATTGTCCACTAAAAAATAATTTGTGACTAGTTCTGTGGTTTATCTTAGTACAATCTCAACACTGCTCTACTCTGTATTGAGCACTTGAGAATAGTAATTGTTGGTTATTGAATTTTTTTTTCCGTATGCATCCAATCTTTATACTTGGGTATATATATATATATATATATATATATATATATATATATATATATATATATATATATAGTATTAAAAACAATAAAATAATTGTAATGAAGTGGGTGCACCAATTAAATTGTAATGCAAAATCTGAATATACCTTATTTAATAAAGCATTTTATTCACTCCAGTATTTCTTCAGTTAATCTTGTCCAGTCTGTGGCGAAAGTCTCGACCTCCCGGGTCCGATACGTGGGCCTTAAATTCTGATTCGTTTTTTTACGTCTTATCAACCCTTTGCAGGTTATTTACATCCAGAAAATATTTTTAGATTGGCAGATTTTTTTTTTTTTTTTTTTTAAGATAATAATGACTTAGTGATACAAGTCTTATTAATTAACCCATAGCTTGAAAAGTAGGATTCTTAACTTTCCCAGGGGCATTTGCGCGTAACTAACTGGAATCTGAACTCGGATCTTCGACCAACCCTTCCGTGCTTACATCCATTTCCCCGCAAGCACACCCAAATTTACTGCAGTTGGTATTCGCAAGTGTTTACCCATCTTGTCTAAAGCGTTTATAACGACACTAATAAAATAATTTTATAGAAAGCGACTAAAAGAAACGTAACATAAATTTCAAAGTCAAAAACATGCTGATGTCAACTAGATGTGAATAAAAAAAAGGATAATTTCGTCTACATTTTTTCTCTCTTTTTTGCAGTATTTTTTTTTCAGTGAAAACAATTTAGATGAAATTTATTTGGTTTGGTTCTTCTTAGACAGAAAAGATAAATTTGAATAGATTCCACAAGTTTAATATATATATATATATATATATATATATATATATATATATATATATATAATATTAAATACACAAAAATAATTGTCGTGAGCTAGGTGCTCTGATTAAATGGTAAATGAAATTTGAATATTCCTTATTTAATAAAAAATTTTATTTTTCCTGTATATCTTCAGTTAAGCTCGTCTGTGGTGAGAGTCCCGCCTTCCCGGGTCCGATACGTGAACTTTAAATCCTGATTGTTTTTTACGGCTTATCAACCCTTAGCAGGTTATTTAAAGGCAGAAAAAATTTTAGATGGTAAGAGATTAAAAATTCCGAACCAGTATCCTTTACACCATCGGCACACCCGAGCTTATAGTACTTCGTATTTCGAAGTGGTCACCCATCTAGGTATTGAGCAGGCTCGACGTTGCTTAACTTCGGTGCTCCTACGGTAACCGGTATTTCAACGTGATATAGCCGCAAGCAATTTACACCTAGGAATATGCAGATGTGAACTGATTGGTGAATAAAAACAAAAGCTAATTTCATCAAGATTTATTTCTCTCTTTATTGCAGTGAAAACAATTTAGATGAAATTTATTTGGCTTCGTTCTTCTTATACAGAAAGTAACGCGGATAGGAATTCAACATAATTTATATATAGCATTGAACACGGTAAAATAATTGTAATGATGTGGGTACTCCAATTAATCACGAAATTTGAATGTTACTTATTTAATAAAACATTTTATTCACTTCAGTATATTTTTAGTTAATCTCGTCTGTGGTGAGAGTCCCGCTGTCCCGGGTCCGTCACGTGAACCTTAAATTTTAATTCGTTTTTTTTTTTTTTTTACATGTTATCAACCCTTTGCAGGTTATTTAAAGCCAGAAAATATTTTTAGATTGGCAGATTTTTTTTTTTTTTTTTTTTTTTGAAGATAATAATGATTTAGTGATACAAGTCTTATTAATTAACCCATAGCTTGAAAAGTTGGATTCTTAACTGAGAAAATATTTTTAGATTGTCAGATTTATTTTAAAGATAATAATCATTTAATTAAACCATAGCTGTGGGACGGGAGAAAAAAGTTGGATTTTTTAACTTTCCCAAGGGCATCTTCGTAAGTAACTGGAATCTGAACCCGTCAACCCGACTAACAATTCCGAGCCATTATCCATTTCCCCACCAGCACATCGAAGCTTACAGCACTTGGCATTCGCAAGCGGTTACCCATCAAGCATACTGTCCAGGCTTCGGAGATCGTACGCGAACCGGTGTTTCAACGTGATATAGACGTCTGTCTGTAAATGATGTGTGAAAGACTGTCGAAATCATCTACGGGATTATCGTTTATATATTTATGTCTGTCTAACAATTCTGTTTCAAATCCCTGTGATGTAATGAATATGCATTCACCTCACAGTAATATGATTGGCTGGTGCCAGCTATAAATACAGACTGATGTGGAGGTACACGACGACGCCTATTGTCTTCGCCTATTGTCTACGCCTATTGCCTACCACTACGACGAGGACCAGTCCATGACGGTTACCTGCTAGATTGTCCTACCTGGTTACAGTAGTCAACAACCACTTTGCTACTTCGAATACATATATCCCTTTCGGGGACATATCACATTGCAATATGGGATGTAGGCGTAAGGACACGTACTTCTGCATTCGATGGCTGGGAGTAACTTTAGGCCACCCCTTCATTGGTACCCCCGGCTTCCTCGATGACCAAACATAAAAACGAGTGTAATCTTTATTCTGGAATAATAGTAATATTACTATATAATCATTGTCCTTTATTTGAGTGGATGACGAGATATTTTGATACTGCATTTTAAACTGACAATGAATCTGAATGGTGATGAATTTAGTGAAGTCAATACCTTGGAGCAGCTGAATAGATATTTCACCGATATAACATAACGCAAAAGTATACAACTCCCAAGAAAATACTCGACTAAGATAGGGTATAAAGAAATATTAGTGAATAGAGCAAGGGATTAAAGTTTGACTCGTATCCTACTGTTATCTATTTGAACTCAGCTTTTATATTTTACAACGTTTCGTCTATTATAACTACTGGCCACCTCAAAATATATGTCGTCCTGAGTATGACGATAAACTACATCCGGCAGTAAGGTCTCTGATCGGGAGACCGGAAGTTTTGAGCAGCGTGGAATCACCTCTTAATTGCTGTCATTCCCAGGTCCACCCTGTATTAACATTTGTTAGGGTACCAGCAATGGGCAAATAGTGAACCCCGAACCAAACATCAATAGTACCTTTTTATAATAAAATGTAGAACAATACATATTTATAGCAAAATAAAAAGCAACATTAAAAATATCTAAAAAAAAAATATATACATTTTTATACTAAAATTACCAACAATACATTTATGATCTACAAAAGTATATATCTAAAAAAAACAAATACCTTTACATAACATTAGGAACAAAATATTTAGAATTTTAAATAATCCAAATAATCCTGCTAAACATCAAAATATCAAAATAGATTTCGGTGATTAATTAACCCAAAATATGCCGCTAAAACAAATCAACCAAACCAAACCAATCAAAATATTTAGATTTTGGTATTAAATAACCCATAGAGGTTGATATGCCGCTAAACAAAATCAACCAAACCAAACCAATCAAAATATTTAGATTTCGGCATTAAATAACCCATAGAGGTTGATATGCCGCTAAACAAAATCAACCAAACTAAACCAATCAAAATATTTAGATTTCAGCATTAAATAACCCATAGAGGTTGATATGCCGCTAAACAAAATCAACCAAACCAAACCAATCAAAATATTTAGATTTCGGCATTAAATAACCCATAGAGGTTGATATGCCGCTAAACAAAATCAACCAACCAATCAAAATGAAAGAACTCTTTTATGACATTAATCTCTCGTACAATTTGTTCAATCAAATTTCAAAATATAACTTCATATAATCTTCAAGAAAACTACAACATAAACACACATATCACCCCCTTTAGTAATTAGGTTCACATACATGTACACGTTCTGATGGATAACATATCGTCTAAATTACGTAAAAGTAAAAATAACACTGACAACTCATTTTAGCATATATGTTTAACAAAATTACACAAAAATATCTTGAAATACTAAAAAGTAAATCTATTCAATATAATCGCCATTGGCTTCAAACATGGCCTCCATATGACTTTGGAATCTTCTGCAACTCTTCAAAACGGTCTCTTTGTTTGTGAATACAGCCATAATCCTTGTCTTCAGTTCATCTTTGATGTGACAAGAAGTTTTGTTGCTCTCCTGCTCAACCTTCCCACACACAATAATCAAGGCGTTGTAGTCTAAGGAGTTAGATAGCCAGATGAAAGGTGTGAAGTTGTCGCAGAAATTGTCTGACAGACATGACCGGATTCTCCTGTTTGTGTGGTTCAGAGTCCTATTGCCAAATATAGTGTCTTCCAATAGCCAACCTCTTGACCCATGACAGCACTACCTCCTCAAGGCACTTGATGTAGGCCTCTGCGTTGAGTCTGAGGCCCTGTGAGAAGATGACTGGGAGCATAACGTCGCTATCACTAGCGACCACTTCAAATATCTTCGTAATCACTATTACAGTTACTCAAATCATTCTGCACTGTCCACAGATTGACACCAAAACATCCTGAAATGTTCGTACTGGAGCATCTGGCGCGATGGTCAAGCAGTACAGCATGCAATTTCCAAATTTATATTTGAGTGAATTGCGTGCGTCATGGTGCTCTTTTTTAACAGACGGTGACCAACTGACCCTACTATACTGTGTAGTCGACAAAATGAAAAACAAACAACGCGCATGCGCAAAATTAAAAATATAAAATGGCGACAATCTACCCATCGCACACTGTAAATGCACAAAATCTGAATATCCAATCATATTTTTATTACTTCAACTCTCCCAAGAAAATTAAAGTTCAGCATTAAATGACCCATAAACTAGTTCATATGTCGTTAAACAAAGAAGCCAATAAATCAATCAAAATATCTCTCCGATTAGGTAACGATCTTGTAATTTCAAGATGGTTCGAGCATTCAGTCCATAGAGGACGGCCTGTTCTCATTCCGATGTCCAAGCTAAGAGTGGGGAAGGGATTCCAGTTATTTAATTTTTCTGTCATTTTCATTCTTTTATCAATTCGGCAAAATCAAGCGACTTTTATTCCTTCCGGATTCAAGGATTGAATTCACGATTACTGTAATTTGCAACACGTAACCATCACTTGTTGAACATGATTTTTTGGGACACATAATGAGGAAAGAAGGCCTGGAGAATCTGATACTCACGGGTCGAATAGCGGGAAAGAGAGACAAAGGAAAACAACGCGTGACATACCTAGCGGACTTAAGCAAGTGGATGATAGAACGTGGTCTGGGAAGGGAAGCAGGGGGGTGGGGAGGAAGTTGTTAATAGCTGCAAGGGATAGAGGGAGGTTGAGAGCCATCATCACCTACGTCCTGAAAGGAAATTTCACATAAAAAAAGAACCATCGCTTGTATATATTGCTATAACTTTGAAGGCTTAAACCGAATGTTTGTCGCTATTTTTTCTGATCTCTCTCCGATATGGTGCTTGTTTTCATGCTATGTCTACTGAGCAGGTTATCAATATTAAGTATTTGCGCCAATTGTTCCATTTTCTGATGTTGTTCTTTATTCTGACTTTAATGCGTATAGGTGAGGATCGCCGCCTTTTCCTATAAATGAGAAACGTCAACGCATGAGCGAATTAACTATGGAAGATGAACTAGAATTATCTCCTTTATCCACGATGGTTTATTGATTCATCTTTTATGGTCTATCAACACTTCGCAGGTTATTTAAAGCCAGATAATATTTTTAGATTGTAAGAATTTTTTAATAATAATGATTTAGTGATACAAGTCTTACGAATTAACTCATAGATAGAACGAGTGGGTTCATGCCTTTCACAAGCAAATATAAGAAATCCAAAAGGAATCAGAACGCTGCTCTCTGATTAACAATTTCGAACTACTGTTCATTACACCACCCACACATCCAAACTTCCACCAACTGGTGTTCGTAAATGGCAAACCATCTCAGTGATCGTACTGGACAGTGAAATGAGAACAGTCTAAACCCATCAGATGACTAGAAATTACTGTGCTCAAATTCCGTAGCAATATTAAAAACTGAGAACGAATAGATAGGTTAGGCAACACACGCGTGGCACGACAAGGAATTTCCAATGGCACGCAACCGGAAATGACATCACAAAGTCCACAACAATAACTACTACAATACAAAGAAGATATTTAGCTATTTCAATTTTAATATATACTAAAGTATATATACTATATATTACTATACAAAATATATTGTAGAACAGGTATGTTGACCTTGACTTGTATAAAAACACGTATGCTGTAGGCAGACTGAATGATTTTAAAACCTTAAGTCGGCAC